TAAATAGTGATGCGGGAGACTTTCTTTATAGTAGAGAGTTACCGGCTCATCAAGGAGAAGCACCATCTCTTGTGATTCAAGACCCGATAATATGGACAAATTCCAGTGAAGGAAATATTCATAGTGACAATTAGATTTTGCAAATGGAGGTAAAAATAATATAGAACAAAAATATATAAATATATATATTTATATTATATAGAACCCCCAGTCTAATCTCTTTCCAGAGTAGATAAAGATATATCACTCTGAAAACCATGTGCATCATAGCCCAAAGTGAGACCAAAGAGATCATCTTATTCCATAGAAATATTGGAGGTTAAAAATGATCCTTAAAGAGTGTTGCATTTCTCTCCATAGTATTTACAAGAAAATTTGATAGATAAAAATAACAATGATAATGAAACAAGAAGAGAAACACGTGTACGAAAAATGTCACTTCCTCTTATGCCAAAGACACAAATGTGGGTCACAAAAGATATGCACAATTCATGAGACATTTAAGAATATGTATACAGATCAAATGGTCCATAAATAAAAACTAATAAGAGGAAAAAATCATGACCAGTATTATCAGTAATAAAGTGGGTTGATGTTGGTTGTCTCTACTTATCTGGATTGTTTCATGATTTGAACCTATCTGGAGGAAGGGTGAGAAAAGAAGCCATCTATGGAAGGGTGCTACCTTTGGAGGTTGTAGACGTTGTGACTGGAATGGAACAATACGATTTTTGAAGACTGTATATCCACAACCCAAGTTCTATGGGAGCACGTGACATTTCTGACCTCCTTATGCGCTAAGGCCAGCAGGCAATTTACTAATACATCTATTTATCTGTTACGTAAATACTGGGGGCCCCACATACATTGACTTTCGTTGGGTTCAGATGTAACTATGTTTCAGAGTTCTACTAGAAAGCTTTAGGAAAATACTCTATTCTCCAAAATTGTACTTAATAATATTTTTTGTACAATCCATAGACACATACACAGATATACATTATTTAAAAAAGAATTGTTTTTTAGAAATATTAAAAGAAATTGGTATTTCGCGATGCACAATTAATTTAGGACATCCATATACAAAGGGAAAATAATGAAAAGAGCAAACAAAAAGAGATGCATCCCCACATGCGTATATAAACACACGAACATATACAATTTGAAAACTATGAGCTATAGGGCACAAAAGAAAATTATTGACAGAACTCAACCAAATTAAACATGCGTAACTAAAAAATGAAAATATTTATTAACTATGTAAGTTTCATGACCAAGAGATTAAAGTATATAAATGTGGGTTGTGACTTTTTCTTTTACGAAAGGTAAATGTGTCTCATGACTAAGAGATGAGCAGATATAAATTTGTGAATGTACACACACATAGGAACCAAACAAAAAGCATTTAAACTTTAAAGTTGACTCGTGTATTGTATCATAAGCTTTAATAAATCAGTGACCACTGCACCATGCCTGTTAATCATCCTCAATCTCCAATAAAATATGCAAACCTTCATTATCCCATCAAAAAATCCAATCTAAGTAAGCCATTAAGAAAGGAAACAGATTACAGCAGCCATCCATATACAAGCAGTAGAATATAACAATCAAATACAGAAATTAATGCAGATTCCATTCTCATAATTTTCTTGTCAATATCATAAATTCATGCAAGAGAGCAGTATCAAAAACTCAAAACTCAATATGCTCAACACCATTGCCCTATCAACTGATACTCAAACATAATATCAAAACTCTAAACCTGATCAAAACCATCACAAATATCTAAGCCCACTTCAAAGCTAAACATCTCAAATCTAGCATGGACCTGAAACTAAACAATACAGCAAGTGTCATGAAATACAACGTTAACACAAGATTCCAAGTAAAAACAGATTACACACTTAAGCTAGAGTGATCTTATCAGTGTATGCACAAACCTACCTGAATAGAGTCCTTACATCCGAAAAATATTCAGTAGAACAATTATTGGGAGAAACTCATTTCAAACTTGATAGTTAACAAAATATTAGAATATGAATAGTAGATTGATCATTTCCATAAGCTTAAAAGCCTTTAGAAAAAATAATTATCCAATCAATTATTTTGCATTGTGTTAGGACAGAAATCTAAATTTCAAATCTTGACTGTTCTACTATTTCTATCAGTTAATTCTTAACACAAACTATGATGGGCCTGTGTTTGTTAAATGCTTGTAGCATGGAAGGTCATCACTCGGTGATGTATATTAGAACACAAATAATATATCCATCTTTTCCATCAGCTTAAGTTTTTATAAGCTACAGATATTTATATTTCAAACATCGTTGTTAGAGCTTTCTGTTAATCTGTTAATTAATTTCAACACAATCCTTTGTTGATCATTGTTGATTAACAGAAAATATATTGGGTCTTAATGCATGCCCTCGTCCACTTGAGCATGAAGGGATACAGTACAAGTAAAAGATAAAAATTGAGTAGCTTCATGTAAACTTAAAGCTTTCAAGAACACGGGTTAATCAATCAATTATTTCACACCATGCAGAATACAAGGGTTATCAGAGGGTAGGCACAATCTGTTATGAATAAGATGAAGAGAGAAAGAGAGAGAGGAACCAAAGTTCTTAATTAGATAAATGCATTCAGATTATGAAGAAGCGTTTAAAAAAAACTAAATGAATTAAACAAAATTAATTGCAAAAGAACACAATCGAGCTACCAATTCGTTTCACTTACCCAGAAAATAGCATTAACGAATACAATAAATCAATAAATAAATGTTTACACATATCGATTATATACCTACTCGATATGCCGGAAACAAAATAAGCCAAAAGAGTTACCCGCTGCTGCTTGTGGCAATGGTGATGGTAGCAAGACGTGCAGTTTCACCCGGTGGCTAAACGGGATTGATCGACGATTACTGAGGGACCTCAAGATGGATCTCCAGCGGCTCCTTGATGTGCGCGGAGAAAGAGGGGATAACTGCACAAAAGGGAGAAAGGGAAAGAAAGAAGAAGAGAGAGGAGATTGGTGCTCGGCGTTGAAAAGGAGAAGAAAAAGAAGAGGGAAAGTGGTGAAGGGGATGAAGAGAGGAGTGGAAAGTTTCCTCCTTTTTTGAATTAAAAAGAAATATAGAGGAGGAGAAAAAGTGGCGCGCTTGCTCTGCTGCACGCCCTGTAATGGTGGGACTGAAACTTTGGCTGTCTTTCGTCTTTCCGGGAACTCCACGATGCAGAATTTATTTTGATTTATATTTTTCCTCTTCACGTTCCTTTTTTGAATGCATTTATTATTTGGGTATATATATTCTATATTTTTAATGGGCTGAAAATTGGATTTTTTGGTGGGCCCAAATGGGTAGGAATTTAAATATAAAAACTCTTGGACTTTAATATTAATATTTAAATTAAAGAAAAATTAGATATATATTCTTAATATTTAAAAATAAATACAATTGAATTCAATATTTTATATTAAATATATATATATATATATAGCTAGGTTCTTCATTTATCTTGGCATTAATGATCACAAACATTAATAAAAATTGATAACTTGTCTTTTATTAATATAATAAATTATTACAATACCTTTAAAAATAAATTATTACAATAATACTTCTAATATATTTAGTTGTAATTAACGCACATTTATTAAAAGAAAATAACCTAAAATATCCAATATATTTTTCTCTTTGTACCAATATATTTTAGCTCCAAAGTTTTATTCAAAAGTATAGTCAATTAAAAATTATAACCGAGAAGTGTCTATTTTAACTATTTATTTTTTATAAATGAAAGTTTTTAAGAACTTATAGAAGTCAAACACCTTATACATTGTTGCAATGCATAACTATATAGATATATATATATACACTTTTTGTTGTGTTTTTAATTAAAATACATTATAAATCTATTAACAAATAAAAATATTACTCTGGTGATATTTACATATCCTACATCAATACAAGAACTATAGGTCACAAAAAAAAGTTTAACTACATAATCAGGAATTAAAACATTTGTGTAGGAGTAGTTTAAAATACTTAGTGATCATATCTACAATGAGTTAAGGGAGATATTCTATTAAAAATTTAAAGTGTGTACATAGTAGTAAAATTGGTCTTAGACTACCTTTGTATGTAAGAAGAGTCTTCCATTTCAACATGTATAGAAGTTTGCTCAACTTCACCAATCGTTGCCCGTTGGTTATCAATTTCTAAAATTGAACTTTTTGTTCTTGTTAATTGATATGCAACATGTACACAACAACAGTTGAGATATGCCACGGTCCAGGTGCCACTTATTGTTAAAGCTTGACATGCGATGCTAAAAATATGTAGATATCTTTCTGCTAGCCGGAGACAAGTAACTAAGAAAGCAATTGTTGAGACACAACCCGATATTAAAAATAAGCCAACAAATGGCTTTGGGCCTAAATTTGAAGCAATGCTGATAATTGTTGAAGATGTGCAATTGGAAGATGAAAGTATATCTTCTAGTTCCTTCATTTTTCCACTCTCAGTTACTTGTAGGATTGCTTGAGAAATGTCATATGCTAAAAGAGAACCTTTTGGAAATGCCTATCATAATTAAACAAACCAAATAAAGATTTATAAGAATGTTAAATAAAATTTCTAGTGAATATTGATATATGATACCAACCACTCTTTAACTGGATGATTGTATTTTTATGTCTAGCAAGGATTTGAGTTTAAAGTCTTAAATTGTTCATCTGGTGTGTCGTCTTTAAAATGTTATATTACCATCAATTGTGTTATAATTGATGCATAATTACTATCTAAAAATATTTATACACGATGAAAGGAAAATACTCACAAAACCAAAACCTCCAGTCTCATAGGATGGTCCTGCAATGGTGTAGCCGTCACAATTTCTAGCAAGAAAGACTTTTGCATGAGGAGTAACAAAGAAAGCCGCTTTAATTTGACCAGTCTCAAAAGCTCTAGGATATTCATCTATAGAATAAAACTTCTTGATATTGTGGGGCTTAAAGTCCAAAACTTTTTCCAAGTACTTCCAAATGAATGAATTCCCATTGCAACCAACTGGTGCATTTGTTCTTCGAAGTGTTTCTATGTCTAAAATAGAGGGTTGGAGGCGAGATACAGTTAACATAGACGAGAGACTAGCTGTGAATGCTGCTGTCACTACAAGAATCACAAACAACCATGGTGCTAGCACTAACCTAGCCCAATTGCTTTTTAGTGGTTCGCCTGCGCAAGTTGTAAATAATACTAGGGGTTATATTAAGTTATATAGATATAGTTAAGTAAAATGCAATAAATGTATAGCTAATTGAACTTACTTTGGGCAAAGATGAGAACTGTGACACAAAACCAAATCATGGTGCCAAATCCTTTTAAATCTGAATTCTTTTCATGTTCAATTAACCAAATAACAAAGCCTATAAACATGTGCATTACTATCATTAATAGCCACATTTTAGTAGTAAAAGTCTTGGAAAACATCCATGTCTCGATTGGGTTCTCTTTTTTCCCTACTACTACCATCACAACTCTTGATTCCATGTACGGCTGCGAAAACTCTACATGTTGATACCTATCTGAGATTATTGAGATGTCACCTATTGCTCCGTCTAATACCTGGTATGAGTGAAGTTAATTAATTAACGATCAAAATCTGAAGAAAAATGCATGAGATTAGAGTATGTGTACCTTTTGAGAGACTTGTTGGATAATGTCATCATATGAATCATTGGATGGAACAAAATCATAAGACAAGTGATAAGATAGACGATTGACAACTGCTTCAAACACTTGAATTGAAAACCCAGTGGCATGGGTTGACCTATTCTCGTTCTTGTCTTGGCTAACACTCACAAATTGATAAAAAGCACTCTTTGTTGGAATTCCTATCTTTAATCTTGTATCTCTGTCATTGCAACTCCAACCCTTTGGATCTATCATTTGTATGCCACCTGGCCAATAAATAGGACCCAATTTTTTTATAGAATTTTCATCGATATTCTTTGCCCCTTTTTCTTTGTGGAAACCAAATTCTGGTGACCAAAATGCTATTTTATTGTAGCTTTTTCCTACCACATTAATGATTTCAAATGTGGGGGATTGTGCTAACATGCCATTTTTAAATCTTATATTTCCACTCAGGCCCTCAAAATTAATAGATAGTAATTGTTTCAGACTATCATGTGATTTCTCCTTGGCTTTAGCTACCGCCCACATTGCATCATAAGCTCGTAATGCAAAAATACTAGGGTTTAAATACTCTTCCTTTGGATATTTTAACTCGTACTTTTTTCGAAACTTAGTCTTAAATTCTCTATAAGACCTAGTAGAGTCTATAAAGCTGGTTTTAAAGCCAAGTATGCCCTGCATGTTGTACAATATAGAGGACTCGATAGATTCAAGAAGACTTGTTACTTCATCTGTGATGATCCATACATAGTCTTTTTCTACCATTTGCATTTGTTTTGCCTTCTCAAAAAGCAAGATAGCAAACTCTAAAGAAGATCGTAGAATAATAAAAATCCTATTGCTCTTGCTTTTTAACTTCTTAAGCTCTCTTTCTATGGCAATATTTTTCGGGTCAGAGAGAGATAAAGGTGGGAAGGTTAAATGTGTGTCAATCTCTGAATCAACTTTACGAAGTGAATCCGAAAGGAGGATCAAGAGACCAGAATCAATAGAGAGACCATCTTGTTGTTGGTAGATTGTTGTCACCTTTCGCCACTTGAAGTTGCCAACAATGGCAGCTAAACATTGCATGTGAATAGATACATCATTGGAAAATTGGAGGAATAAAGGAGATGGATTTGGCATTAAGTGTGGGGTTGTGGGAAGTGAAGTTAAAGAGATGATCGGGATATCTTCAGTGGTACTATCTAAATTGTAGATTAGGGCTGCTTCTAGCATTGTTATGGTTCCGATGATGACTTGCACATGGTTTCTACCGATCAGTTGAATTGCTGTAGATAGCACATAT